ACCCAACTCCTTTTGCTTCCTCATTAAGAAGGCAGAGAACCCAACTCCTTTTGCTTCCTCCTAAAGCTGGAAGAGAACCCAAATCCTTTTGGTTCATCCTGAAGTAGGCAGAGAGCCTAAAACCTTTTGCTTCCTCCTGAATCAGGTAGAGAACCTTGATCAGTTGTTGAAATTGACCTCTCCCAAACCTCCAAGAAAATAGGGATGATGATTAGACAAGACGACTTGGATCCTTAGAGGAACCTTTAAGAAACCCATCACAAACTCTCCCTCACAAGATCCTGTTTCTATCTCCCTTAATCTCCCTCTCCTCTTGGCTCTCTCAGGTCAGGACAGTAGCAAAAGATTTTCTCCAAAGAAAATAAGAGATCTTTTAAACAAGGGCACCAAATTGGCCAAAATTTGAAACTAATCATCAAATATCATCCAGGATGATCGATTGATCATCCTGTATGATCAATTCAAATTTAGCTCAATCAGGCAAGATGATTTGGGAGAGTTTGGACGATTAGAAGTTTTCTTTATTCAGATTGTCCAATATGATAATATATCATACTATATGAATAGTTCAATTTATTGAATATCTTCTAGACCATTTCCTTAGATGGATATCTAGATAATGAAAAAGTAACTTAATCATCTTGGATGATCTTACAATCATCCAGGCTGATTAGTACAAAACATCACATATCATTGAGAACATCATCCTAGATGGATGTTTGGACGATTAAAACATGTCTCTGAGGAATTGGAAAGATGGATAGAAACTGGAAAGACACTTTAGTTGTTCTCATTCCTAAAGTTTCAAACCCGGTGCTGCCTACCAACTTCAGGCCTATTAGTCTGTGCAACTAGACTTACGAGGTTGCGGTTAAGCTGATCCTGAACAAGCTCATTCCAGTTGTTCCTAAACTTATCTCTAAGGAACAGGCAGCGTTTATCAAGGGTAGATCTATTTCGGATCATGTGCTAGTTGCTCAAGAAGCCTTCCACAAATTCAGGTATTCTAAGTCCTCTAAAGGTCTTGTTTCCTATCAAGTTGATATGGAGCAAGCATATGATTCTATGAGTTGGATAACTCTTCAAGCTGTTTTAAAATACTTAGAATTCCATCCTATGATCTCCAAGCTTATTTTGGAATGTGTGATTGAACCAAGATTCTCTTTGATTATTAATGGTACATTATCTGAATGGATTGAATCTAGGAGTGGCTTCCGACAAGGTTGTCAACTCTCTCCAATTCTTTTCATTCTTTGTTCTCAACACCTCTCGAATGCACTTTCATTATCTACTATTGGCATTAAAATCTGTCCAAAAGGTCCTCAGGTTTCTCATTTACTATATGTTGATGATGTGTTTATCTACTCGGAAGCTAATAGAAAGGTGGCTAAGGAGATTAAAGAAGTTCTGGATAAATTCAGCAGGTGGACTGGACAATGCATTATGGGATTTTTGGAGGTCAAGCAATACATATCTTGGAAAAATGATGTCTTTAAAGATACTAGCTTCTAATGACTTCCAATTCATCATTGAAAAGTTTTTTAAAAGGCTTAACATGTGGGGAAGTAAATTTCTTTCTTTGAATAGAAAAATTATCCTAATCAAATCAATAATTTTGGCTCTTCCAAATTACTACAGCACACACATGTTGGTTCCCTCACGGACCTTGAAGGAAATTGATAAAATCTGCAGGAACTTTCTCTGGAAAAAATCTAATGGAGTAAAGGGTATTCATTATGTCACCTGGAAAGAACTTTGCATTTCAGTTAATCAAGGAGGACGTGGATTGAGCTCTTCATCCTCTACGGTGGCTGATCTAAGAGGGAGACTAGCTTGGAGATTTATAAACAATCAATATTCTCTCTTGCACAAAGTGTTGGCTTCCAAATACGGTAACAGGATTGAATCCGGAAATAGTAATAAAAGAATCTCATCTTCATGGAATATTATCAAAGATGGTGGAAAAGCTCTCAATCCTATCTTAAGATGGAACATTGTTAATGGAAAATCTATTAATACTCTTGAAGATAAATGGATCTTAGATAGGAGTATTAACAAATGGCCTACATTTTTTATCCCCCAATATGAGGAGAATGTTATGCTGGACAAATTTATTCAAGGAGACAATTGGAACAATAACAGAATTGAGGAAGTTTTTTGGAGCTGATTTGGTGAATTTAATTCTACAAACTAGAATTAAATCATCTCTTATAGAAGATGAGAAGGAGCTGATCAACCAGTTCTCTGGAAAAACCATCTCAGGGTTAATTACTGAAGCCAATCATCAAGTTATTTCAAAATGCAGTTTTCCGAAGTGGCTCAAAAAGGAAAGAATAAATCCACGGGTGGGAACATTTTGTTGGAGGCTTTTTAAAAATGTAATTCCTACTTTCCAGTTTCGATCACACAGAAGATTGCAAGAGAATGTTTTATGCCCAAGGTGCTCTGAGGATATAGAGGATGTGGAGCATGTAGTTTGCGAATGTAGAAAATTAAAAGAGGTGACCACTCAACTAAGCAAATGGGGATTTTATATTCCAAATTTTAATAGCTTGGAAGAATACTATTCTTGGATGGAATCTAAGACAATTCTCAACAGTATAATTGTCAATTTTTATTGCAATGTCTTATATTTTTCTTGTAAAGCTAGGAACATTCTTGTTCATGAAAATGTGACACAAGGTGCTACTTATATTGCTACAAATGCAGTCAGCTCTTCCTGTTTCTCTAAGTTGATTTTTAACTTAAAATTGGAATAAAGGGATGCTAATCAATCCTTTAGACTGTTGAAATCTTGGTATCCCCCTCCACCCGAATGGTTAAAAATTAATATAGATGCTTCTCTTGACTCATCCAATATTGCCGGTATTGGGGGTGTCATCCGTGACTATAAAGGAAGATTCTTATTGTCCTTTGGCAAATCGTGCATCCATTGGGACATTTCACAACTGGAAATGCTAGCTATCAAATCACTGAAAGAAGTAATCAAAGATTGGATGTTCAAATACAAAGGGATTTGTATTGAACGAGACAATGTGAATGTAATTAAGGTCATTCATAAAGCTTGGCTTCTTGACTTCAAAAGATTGGAAGAGTTGGAATTCCTCAAGGACTTCAATTACATCATCTTTAATTGGGTTAGGAGAGATTACAATAAGTTGGCGGATGTTTGTGCTAATCTTACTAAGGTTAGAAACTTTGTTTGGGAAGATTTTAACTGTAATAAGATTCCTCCTTCATTTGTTAAAATCTTGAAGGAGGAATCAACCTTGTAGCTTCATTGTTTTCTTCTTAATGCATTTAATGCTTTCTTCAAAAAAAAAGATGATGAAAACATAACTTGATCACCCAAGACAATATCACAATCATCTGGGATGATTAGCATAAAACATCACATATCATCCAGATCATCATCCAGGATGGAGCCAGGATAATTATGGATCATCTAGGAAGAACTAAGGTTTATTAGCTGATCATCCCGACCGATCTTAAAATAATCTAGGATGATATGATTGAGCAATAAAACCTTAATTACTTTCCTTAATTACCAAACAAATTAGGCATAATTGTAGTGCATCATTGAGGATGATATCCAAAAATAAAACATGCCTAAAAGGTTATGGCAGCTGATTCTTTCTGATTTGATCCTATCATCCCGGATAATGATAATATCATCCAGGACGATTTGCTTAATAATGGCTACCTTAAACAGGATGCCTTAATCAAGGTTTTTTGTTTTTAACGAATCATCAAGGTTGATTTAGGATCATCACGAATGAAATGATCAAAAACAAAAAACTCTAAAACATTTAAAATTTTTCCCCCAAGTGTCTGTGTATAAGGTTACTTTGTATCTGGACCCACATTATTAAAATGGACTCAAGGAAAGGTAAAAGATACTTGATGTATATAACAAGCTGACTCAGTCTTAATCTACCCAATCTTGAGCTGGTTAAATTTTTAATTTGATTTTGTGGACTTGAAACGTTAGTAGGCAATGCAATCATAGAAAAATAGAAATGTTTGCTATCATCAAAATTATATTTCCTAAAATCATATTTGTAATAATCTCTCCCTTTGTGTTGATGGAAAATAATTAAAACTAAATAAAACACAAATAGAACTAAAATAATACTACGAAACAACTCAATCACTACCCACTACTCAACCTTTTGTTATCACAAAAAGGAGGAAAACCAGAAAAGAAAATTAGATTAGAAGATGAAAAAAAGGAGTGAAATCAAAGTTTTTGTTTTATGAAAGCATGAATTTAATAAAGTCTCCTTATGATTGAATTAAAAATTTGTCAAAATAATGAGTTAACCTCATCGAAATAAAAAAAAAAGGTAGAATAGCCGATCCAGTTAGCCCTTGCTCGGAATTCTCTCAGGATAGAATCGTCTTTTGAAAACAAAAAGCCTAACTCAAAAAAATCAATTGGATAAGAAAATGAGATTCGTTCAAAACTTGGTCTAAAAAAAAAGTATCTTATAGAATAACATACTAATGTAATTTGTCACAATCACAAAATTCAAAATCAAGCCTTAGAAAATATCAAGTGACACATGAATTCTTCTAAGATTTAAATATTTGAAAGAGAAGGAAGCTTTCCTTTTGTGGTTTCATTTTATGCCTATTGTCAATTGATTGGCGCACTTTGCGCATCTTTCAATTTTTGATACACTTTATGTATCTTTTATTTTTTTTTGGTGGTCATTGTGCATCTTTTATTTTTTATTCTTTTTGGGGCTCATTTTATGCCCTTGTCATTTTTTACATGGTAGATCCCTTTTCAAAACTCTTAAATACTCCTAGTTGTGAGCATATCTTACAAATATTAGAGAAGAAAAATTTACTCTCTAATATAAGGAAGAATAAACTATAAAATAGAATCAAATTATATGATAAATGCAATGAAAAGATTATAACAAATTTGAAAGTAATATAAACTCTTTTTTTTTTTTTGAGGAAAATGCAATTGCATTAATAGGAAAAAAAGATTAATTACAATCAGCAGGGGGATGATATTCTACCTTGATTAAATTAACCATAAAGGGAGGGATATCATCAAAAGAAAAACTATCAAAGTAAAAGCTATCATCTAGAGCCATAGTAGCACATAAGTTTGCTACCTTATTACATTCTCTATGAGCATGTACAAAAACTACTTTATTGAAATCACTTACAAATAAAGAATCACTTACTAGCTTGAGGGTCATAGCACCTTTGTCTTTCTTCAAAGAATTTTGAATGTATTTGATAACATTCAAATTGTCACTTTCAATAATGACTCCTTTGTAATCTTTCATCCAGCTTTTGACATAATCTTTGACCAAGAGTATAGCATCCAACTCCAAATGAGCAATATCCCAATGTATCAATGTTCTCCCAAATGCAAGAATGAATCTCCCAAAGCAATCTCGGAAGATTCCACCAATACCAGCTAGTCCCGAAGGAGTTAATGAAGCATCAACATTGATTTTCATCCAATCTTTCGGTGGGGGGCACCAAGAAATAAAAGACTCCCTAAGGAGATTAGTGCTCCAGTAAGAAAGATAAGACGTAGCTTTAGTGATGGCTACAAATAAAGCATTAGCAGCTACAGCATAATAAGGAAGATCAGATTTTCCATGCTTTATCTCGTTCCTATTCTTCCAAGAGAAGTAAACAATGGTACAATAAATCTGTACCACTCCCAGATTTTTACCAGAAATTTGTTTAAGTTCAGTTAAACAATGATCCAAGGAGTTAAAAGTAGGAATAGGAATACCCCAAGCATTGAGTTGATTGATGATGTCCACCAAGTGTTTGCAATTGACACTAATATGCTCATAATCTTCCACCATATCACATCCTCTCGCACAAGCATCCTCATCAAAAAGCTTTCGGTTCTTAAGATATAAATTGGTTGGAATAGAAGCATTGCCAAGTCTCCACCAAAACGTTTCCACCTTTTTGCTAAGTTTGAGTTTGTTGAGCCACTTGTAATAACCTTCTTCCATGAAATTAAATCTTCTATTTAACACTCGTAGGAGATTTAGAACCACATATTCACCTAATTTTAAAAATTGACTTTTTAAAAATTTTATTGGGTTCCTTTGGAAAAGATCAAAAAATGACCGTTATTATCACATTCAAAGAATTATCATCGAATGGTATTTTCTCCCTCTAGGGAGATACAGCTTTCTTTGATAAGGATTTGGATGTGAACTTATCAATCACACTTCTTAACTGTTATAACTGGATAATTAGTTGAACCTCATTTTGACCTTTCGGGGCCATATGAAGTTCTCTTAGAATCCGACTACAATACTCAAGATGAAATTTATAATTCTAAATCTAAATACCGTTATGAAATTTTATTTTCACTTCTCGAGGTGATATACTTTTTCTAACGAGATAATTCAATTTTAGAATTCAATTTTAAGTCCCAAAGAAAATCAATATTTTCATAACATGTTTTTAAAATTCCACCAAACACCCCTGACAAACTTTTAAAATTAAAATTTTCTATAGAAGTTTTCCCAAACTAAGAGTTTTGAACCATTTTAATAATAACATATTTTAATTCAAAATTATTTGCTTAGATTGTAAGTATATTATGCTCTGATGAATTTTATCTACTAAGGAATTTGCATAATCTTTAGGAAGTATAAAATTATTTTGTTCTAACTCAAGTTCAACCATTTTTAAAATCTTATTAATTTTTTGAAGTGTAGAAAGCATTTTCTAAATTTCATGATCAAATGACAAAAGCTCATTTCTATCAAATGATAAAGCTCCTTCCTATGACTATAAAGCATGCAACAAAAAATACAATTAGTGATCAAAGTAAATAATAAAAATAAATATGTAAGCATGTATAACTATGCAATTAATTCAATAATATAGTTAAAATTTTTCAAAAGGCAAAATACTTTGCCGACAATGACACCAAAAACTTGATGGTGGGTGTTATCATGGAGTTTAATTTTGAATGATAAAATTGATTAAGGCTCTATCTCCCATAAATAATACATAGATTTTTTTATATAAAATAATAAATCCTACATAATACAGGTAGGTATGCATATCAAATCAAATAATAAAATGATATAGTAGAGTGTCAACCTCATGAGAAAGTATATTTTTTAGCAACCAATTATTACTATTTACTATAATCATAAAATTATCCAACTAAAATAAAATTATTGATTGTGAAAATTCAATCACTAAATAAAAATTATTGAATAATGGATACAATATTTAAATAATATTTTTTTTAGTGATGAATGTAAAATATATATTATTCAAAATGAAATTATTATTTTCAATGTGATTCAGAGCATATACATCCCTAGATATCTGTTGAACTTATAGGGCTAAAAATGATATATGCTGACCTCATATAATTCTATCATCTCTTAAGGAACTTAGCATATTTTACATCTCATGTCTAGGTATGCAAACACATTATTTCAATATTTCTGATTGTTCTTGCATTCCTTCATCAAGGCTAAACATCACACTTAATTTTAACGACACATATGACCACTATGTACATTAAATAAAGAGCGGGATAATATTAAAAACATCTTTTAATTTTAGCAGAAGAATTTTTATTAAGACTTAATATGTTCTCTACCTCATCAATTTAAAACCAAAGACTTAGCTAGACAATAAAGAAAAGATAAGCAAACTCATTTCCATTAAAATCATAGCAAAATAAAAATACAAGAGAATGATATCACCAAAAAGGATCAATGTATATCCTTTACACTCTTTACTCAACGTATAGAGTCACTTTAAATAAATTCTTATCAATTTAAAACCAAAGACTTAGCCAGACAAGGAAAATAAAATAAGCAAACTTATTTCCATTAGAATCATAACAAAATAAAAATACAAGAGAATGATATAACCATGAAGGATTATTATATATGTTTTACACTCTTTCCCTAACGTACAAAGTCACTTAAATAAACTTTGACTAAACACTGAAATGATTATATCTAGTACTTCCCTAGTCTCTCTATATGATTTGACTCTAAGAGAGATTGAATGAAGTACTAGGAAAAGTACTAAAATTATACAAGTGACTGATCGAACTCTCTTACAAACATAATATAATGGATATTTATAGAAAAAAAGTATAAAATTGGCGTTGCGACGCTTGAAAGATCGACGCCGTTGTGCCCAACAAATAAACTAACATTGATCTGCTATGTTTTAACTCTATCGCAGCACTTGCTAACTTAGATCTATTACTTAGTGAACAATCACATTGTTTTGTTGATAGAACGTGTCATTTGGAAGTTACAACACTGCTATATTGCGGTGCTACCAATTTCTGAATGTTGCGACATTGAAATGGTAATCTTGGTGTTGATGTGTGATAGATTGTGACGCCATGGTACTTGAAGGCAGTGAGCATGTCGCAACAAAGATGACAACTTTGATGCTGCGTCGTTATCCAACAGAGAAGTTGGCGGCACCATACTGCTATTGTGGCGCTCCAGAGGTACCATGATGGTGCTATGGCGTTGTCTTCTCCAATGCCGCGACACTAGATAAGACTTAGATTATGTGCCTTCTTATATTTTTTTCCATACAACACAATTAAAATAACATATTTTTCTACATAAAAGAGAACACATAAAATAATAAATTATTTACACTTAACACCAATTTCTAATGGGTAGTGCACCTATTTGGCTCGGCTCAATGAGAGCTACACAACTCACATTGGCTTGTTGGTTGAGAGCTTAGGCTTCCAACTAAGAGATCTTGAGTTCGAGTTTGTGTATATGTTGTGTGTGTGAGTTTTCCTTAAATGGCCTAAATGTCCCAAAAAAGAAAAACCATGAGAGCTCAATCGAGGTTGCTCAAATTAATGGATACATAGGTTAGCTCCAACTCACAGCCTGAGTCTTCTTCCATAGCATTAGTTTGTATATCCTCCATCTTTTTATATAGCAGAATTCTGTCATCTTCCATTGGTTCAGAATTATCACAATCCTTCTCCTCACTAAGGATTTCAAAAGCATTTTTTAGTTGAACTTCCTCTCTATTGGATCTTGGACTGACTTCCATAGCAGCTTTTCCATTAATTTATGTAATATAAAGTCTTTGAACATTATATATTTAAGTTAAATTACTGTAGCAAGATAGAGAAGATCTCAATCGCAAAGTCCAGTTTTTAATTTGAGATAGACTTTTTTTTAGAAAAGAAAATTACACTGCTAAAAGAGTTTAGAGGGAGGAAAATAATCAATGATGTTTCTCCATTTAACTGATTAAGAGATGTCAGACATTGACTACAAATTTTCAAAAAAAAACAATAAATATCATTTCAGCTATGAACAAAAAGAAAAAAAAATAAGAGAACATCAAAGATAAAAGAACTACAAAATAATAACAAATAAAAAATCAACACTCAAAACTAGAAGGAAGGAATATAAAAATAACAACGAGCAATATATTAGAAAACATGCAAATCAAAATTTATTAAGCAACAAGTTTATGCAATTATGTGTCACGGGGCTCCATTGTTCAGGGACCACATGCACTCACGAGGCCTTTTATTAGAGAAAGCTACAGAATCATCAAACGTCATATTTAGGAACCTAAACATGTTTGTGTGTCTTCTTATAGAAAGAAGAATGCAATGTATGTGTGTTATGCTGTGCTTCAAGCATTGTGGGTCTCCAAACCCAATGTGTACTATGGTGAACAGTGCAAGTGTGTGAAATGCATTCTAGCAGCCATATGAAAACGTATAACACCAGGAAAAGGATATACTAATCTATTCGAGTTATAGTGCCTCCTCCTAGGTTTCAAAAATGTTTACTTTTGATAAGGATTAAAAAAAATTTAGGTATGAGTGTATTCATATTTTTCTCAAGTGCATTCAATTTAGCTTTAAACTTTGAGTTAACACAATCTAAAATGGCATTATCAACTCTCAAATAGTGCTCTCTATGCTCAGATTCATCAATATATCTTTAAAAACATTTTAAAGTGTTGTGTGGGATGTTTTAATGAATCATGTTTAATGACCAACTTAGAATGCTTTTTATTTAACTCATCAAACTCATCAAGTAATGACATATGATTTGTATCAATTATATAGTGATCTTTAAATAGAACTTCATGCTCTTTTTTGCAAATTTAAAAACTCCAATTTCAAACTAGCATGCGATTTCTTAAGTTTTCTATATGATGCATGAATTTTCTCACAAACTTTAAGTAATTATTCATAGCTTATTTCACATACCTCTTCTTGGTTAGACTGACTAATATAATCACCAGTCATCATGGACAAGTTTGTTGTCTCCTCCTCGGCTTCAGTCTCATAGGAGTTAGATGCAGAATATGCTCAAAATGTTTTCTATAACCACTTTTTATCCTTCTTAAACTTAGGTTTCTCCTCACCCTTCTCCTTTCTTGGGTAAGCTTTAAGTGTTTGACAATCGACTTTGACATGTCCCAATTTCCTGCATTCAAAATAAATCGTATCAAAAGAACTTTTAAATATTTTACTATCCTTATCTTTTTTTCCACTTTTCATAATGCTTGTGATTTTTTTCCTTACAAAGCTTTTGAATTGCTTAGTGATTAAGGCAACTTCATCACTTTCAGACCTGAAAAAATTTGTATCCACATAGTTAGCTTTCAACACCACAGTTTCCTCCTTCTTCTTCTCACCTGCATTAAGTTGTCTTTGGTTCAACCCTTGCTTGTAAGAAATAAGTGACCCATGTAAGTTATCTATAGAATAATTATTCAAATCCTTAGTTTCTATAATTACAATAATCTTAGCATCAAAAGAAGAAGGTAAGCTTCTCAAAATTTTATTGACTCTTTCATTGTTAGTTAGCTCTGTTCCTAAGGTATGCAATGCCGTGATAATTTGAGTAAACCTAGTATACATGTCAAAAATTGATTCAGTAGGTTTCATATACAAATTTTAGTTATCATGCAATAAAATATTCAACCTAGATTACTTAATTTCATTTGTTCC